CTGTAATAAAACGTCATTGCAGTGTACGTCTGCTTCAGGGAATGTTTCACTGTTTGCACTTGGGAGCACAAGAGCAATTTTACCAGAATGTACTGGAAATGACATTTATGAGAGTAGCAGATCAATTATTCTCGTACCGACATAATATTGGAGTCACTTGAAAGGGGGAACATCCCTCCAAATCCTCCAGCAGAAAGTAACACTGTCGCATGAAAAAGCAGAAGACAGCGAGAATCTTCGAACAAATCGGGGTGCAAATGAAAGGCATTCCGAACTTATTGTCTGTAGGTCTGCATGGGATGAATGATGTTCATTACTTTTAACAGCATCTCACTCTTTCAGACCTCAGCATTAAATGCTTCCAGGAGACTTGTTTGGTACGACACCTTCATGACTGTTAAGCGACTTGAAACTTGCACTCGACTCGTTACTGTTGAAGTTATGAATCACGAATGAGCGATTTGGCACTAAGTACTGGAAATTACTCGTCTGCCAGACCACACAAGAGCGGGGAGTACGTGCAGTGGGCGGGGCCCACATCACCATTGCCACCCAACGCGAAACGTCTGCATCGACCTGAGCATCGAACTGGGAACGGAGCACGGATTCAGTCACGTCTGGTCTTGTTCGTGACGTGACGCACCTGATGCTGAAGCAGGTTTTTGGAGTTCAGAATTGTTCTAAGAAAAATTTAGTGCACAGAATCATTTTCGCGGGCTTTCTTGTTTAACCAGTAGCTAAGAAAAGAAAAAAATGTATAGCCCATCCATTCAAACTCTGGTTCCGAAAGAGTTAGGCCCATCAGCATGGACCCAAAACAAACATACTGTGCATTCTTGGCAAACAACTAATTATATTAGACAGAGCTTTAAATATACGTTTTGTGTAATGTAGATTCTCTCTTAGAAATTGAGAGTGTATCTTTCTGAGTATTTTTCTCAGTACCTTTCTTATAGCTTTGATCTTTACTCAAAGACATGGGGGAGAAAACGTAATCAGATGTGCCATATTTGTATTCTTCATCCAATATTGTTGGATGATTATGACACGAAGGACGGGATATGTAGCACGCATAAAGAAAAAAGTTGTCAGTGGAACCACGGTTCCGGAGAATTAGACGTAAATACGTCTATACGGAAAGGAAGTTTATATATTGGCTTTATTCTAAATATTTCCTTTATGCATTCTTTACAATTGAGATAAGTTTGATTAAGACATTGCTTATTTAACTTCAATTAGTTACACTTAAGATGGGTCTGTGGTAGCTGAATGTAATGTAAGGTAAGGTAATGTAATATAAGGTAATGTAATGTAATGTTTTATAGGTAATAACAATGCTAAGTAAACAGAAGACGTTTCCTAGGTAACAACAATGCCGAGTAAACACGACGTTCCCTAGGTAACCAGGTTACACTTTTTCGTTCCACTCTTTTGTCGAATGACCCTTCCTTAGAGACGTATTTACGTCAAAATAAATGTCAGTAAAACAATACTTGGAAGAAGGGGTCTATTTCTGAGACTTAACTCTTGCATGTCTTGACCTCGACTCTGCTCTCATCAACGCTGGTCCACAGAAAAGGCCTACTGTTTTCAAATCATTGATGTGTAGTCTGAATAATAAACTCAAAATCTAAACCATTGAAAGAACAAAGAAATCAAAATATTTCGAGACGAAAGCAACTTTTGTTTTTGCGATGTAGAACACTTGGTGTTTATTTGTTATGACAATAACATATCTAGTTTTTATATATTTCTTTTTTATAGATAATGAAATAATATGCAAGAAGTATTTTTAAAACTAACACAATTAGCTTGATTTCTTTCATCAAACATCATCTAATCGCCTACCAGAAACACGTGGGTCACACACAGACCATTGCATACGTCCAGGCTCAAAGAATAGTTAAACAAGTGTGAGAAACCCGCAGGGCGCGATTAAAACACAAATGTTTTTATGTAAGTCTGTACAAGTCTGGAGGAGGAATGCAAAGTATGTAAGCAAAGTGGCGCCAGTGTAAGGTGCATGGTAACCTAACCTACAGACTCTCTCCTTTAACGTGCAGCCTCTGCTTTGTTAAATTCGTAAGAGGATGGCATAAGACGAGGCTATGATACTTCATCGTGTAAATTGCAGCTTTGCTTGTGGTTTATGGGGTTTCATGTGGGTGGCAGTTTCTACATAACGCCGTTGTCAGTAAGTTTCAAAGTAGCAGGATAATTCAATTCATGACGCTACTGATGAGTAGACTATTTGGTATGATCAGGATTCGAATCTCTTCTGTGACCCCGATAATTCTGACGGGGCAGATTCTTCAGAGTTGAAGGTAGGTACAGAAAATTATTAACACCTCAACACATATACATGGCAATGAAAATAATTCGGTTGCGAGTTAGCGAAGGCTTGCACAACACTTTCAAATGTATAGGAGAAACAGATAACATTACAAGAAAGATGATTGAAGATAAGGAATTTTTAGAAACATGCGTAGAAAAAAACCTATCGTTTCTAAAGTCCATACCAATATTAAGCGTAACTAATTTAGGTTAAATAAGCAATGTCTTAATCAAACTTATCTCAATTTTAAAGCATGTATAAAGGAAATATTTAGAATAAAGCCAATATATAAACTTCCTTTCCGTATAGACGTATTTACGTCAAATTCTCCGGAACCGTGGTTCCCCTGTCACTTTTTTCTCTGGTCCTTTTTAATCTCTCGTACATGAGGATTTCGCAGGAGAGCCTCTGTTGTAGGAAATGGAAGGTGGCGAACTACGTTATTTTAGGAGGTAGTGACATTTTATGTTGGAGATATAATTTAAAAGAAAATAAATGATTCTATTATCACGAAGAATTTGATTTTGAAACTGTCATTAAGAGCTCGAGGAAGGCGTTTTTTTTAATTGAGAAGAAAGTGGTATATATTTTTGGGCACCTGTGTTTCGAATTGAAATTTGAACAATTTTTCATTTTCTATAGAACACGCTAGTAAAAATAAATATTTTTGTCTTTTCCCATTTTCTCTCTCTCTCCGACCTACCATTTGAAGGGCGAGAAATATAAAGAAGTCAAAATAATTCCCTTCGATTCAATGCGATTCGAACCTACCATACGCGTTTGGGACACATTTTTATAATGAATAACTAATTGGCTTTTATATATTTGCTGAAAGTCAGATCTTCTGGAAGTGCCTTAAACAGGACACGAACTGACGAAGTCTTGAATTTGTGTTGTTTCATCGAAGAGATTGCTGGCACTGTAGAAAGACACGAACGCTGTGTAATACCGCGTCGTCAGAGATGGTCGTTGTCTGTGTATTTTAGATTCTCTTTGCTACGACACGCGGAACTTCATGAACGCATTCTGTTGCTGTGCTAGTTAATCGGTGCTCCAGTGACAGAGCGAGGGCGGATTTAATGGCGGACGTGTGACTCAGGTGTAGGTCTACAGTCTTTTTTTATTACATCGTCTGAAATAGTACACGTGTGTTCGGTTACTCACTGTGCATTGTGCAGTCAAAGTAATCAGTGTTTTCGATTAGTTTAAATAAGCCTTGTGTTGTCTCCTACATTATTTTAATAACTGTGATTGTGCAATCAGTGTCTTGAAACGAAACTTCAGCTGCGCTGACGTCTCGTGGACTGCACGGGGTAAGTAGCCGTTGATGGCGCTCAAGTCGTTTGGTTGATACGAGATTGTGCACGTCTGTAAATTCGTTGTGACTATCGATTTCGATTAAAGAGTTAGAATTTGCGAAATGTTATTAAGCACCAGGCCGATATTTAGTATTACGATATCGTACTTGAATGACATGTTGTTTAATGACGCTCTGTTAATTACTAAAGTTATTTTAAATTACGGGGTCCATAAATAAGTGGTGAATCATTAGGAAATGGGTGGAAGAAACGTTCACAGATTTTAAGGTACTGCTCCGTCGTAGCTGGTTGATAGGGTTATAAGTTCGTATGTGTGCAAAAATATTTTCTTTTTCTGTTTTTTAAAATGTTTGAAATGTGAACACCGAAATGGGGAGAAGTTATTGGTTTACTTGGGACTAATAATCGGTTTATGCTTAAGCCTATGAATTCAGCAGTTTGGATTGTTTATATCTAATTTTCGTGTGTTAGACTAATGAATGGCTAATGAAGAGAAATTGTGGCCTAATTAATGTGATATCCCTGCATCCATTGTTTTTTCCTACGAAACCCATTAGTACAGTCAGGTCTGTGTAGGGAGATATAAGCGCACTTTGTGAAAAAGACGGTTTACTGCCACGTTAAATCTGTTCTTACTACTGGATTTTTGTTTTGTTCCTTCGTTTATTTAACGACGATAGGTGAATCAGCAGAGGTTGTGTATTGCCGTGGTGGTGGTGATGATTTGTCATTCCCTGTAGAAAAGAACGTAATGCGTGGTTTGTGAAATAATTGTAAGCCATTTTGAAGAACATTAATCAAATTGAGTCCGTTACTGGTTGTCCCCCCGTAACATGTAGAAGCCACGTGAAGAGCAGGTGTTTGGAGATTCAGTGTTTAAGGATCTGCAAGGAAACAGTCATGGTCTATTTACGTACTGTCGCGACATTTTCCTGGAAGGATAAAGAATACCACAAAAATCCTAAGTCATTTAAGACTCTCTTCGGGCCGATATTTAAACTCGGGACCTCCCAAGAGTGATAATCACTAATTCGTGATGTTTGGGTGGGGTGTCGGGGTAGGGTTGAAGAACTGAAGTCTGGAGGGAAGTCTACCGGAACACAGTCATGTATGGTATCTTTAGCTGTTGTATGTGCCTATACAATGTGTTTATATGCACATTATCATTATGAGCTCGTTTCGACCGAAAGTCGCTATCATCAGGTGTTCATACCATGCTCAGTAAGAAGGTTGGCATGTCAGATTATTTTCTATGGCTGTAAATGCTCCTACCGTAACACTGTAATAACGCAAGCACTTAAGATGCTCTCAAGATACTCCTGAACTTGTTGAAAATGTGTCCTTTTCTTATGGGGATTTAATTTTTGTCTCGAGCTGTACACTGTGCGAGAATCTTTTAGGCTCTTTCGATCTGTTTAACAGCGTGGGAAATGTAGGCCCTGTCACGTGTCTCTGAATAAACTTGTCGTATGTTTGTACTCGCTGCTGCTGGCCTACGTGTTGTTTCACAAATTATTTCCCTGGTTAATAAAGATGATCACGTGATCAGCCGTCGATGTTATATTTGTGATTGGAACAAACTAAAACACATTATTTGTAATTTAACTTTCGTGAATTAAGTTTCGAGTACTAATGGTAACGAAATATATTTCTAGATGGATACCATGGTTACATCGCCAAGAAATCAACATTAAAGTGATGTTAGTATTAGTATAAAATACGTTTTAGTAGACACATTCCAAGTCCCGAAATCCAGTGTGTTATAAGGAAATTACTCAGGGTCTCCGTCACAGTTGTCTTCTTGGTCCTCGACCTACTGACATTTCTTTCAGTATAACAGAGGAAGATATTAGAGTTAGAAGGGGCAGCTCCGAAATGATGTTTCGAAGAAGAATTGGAGGGAGAACAAAGTTAAATTATTGTTTGATTGTTGGGCTACTTAGCATCTTATTTTTAGCCAAATTGTTGTTGCATTGGCCAAGA